ATCTTGATCCTTTCAGTAGGCTGCTAATATTTTGTTGGAATCTTATTGTGTAGGAGCATGAGACGTGCTTTTTCTTTCAGTGGATCAACGGTGCAGAAAAGTTTGACCCTTGGTACCTTCTTTTCAACAATTGGTGGAGGGAGACATCCACGTGAGCACTTCCAGTGGTGGGTTCCACCCCCCTAACCCCTGCCGATGACAGCTAAGGAGAAGCACCTAGCCGCAGTTAGACGACTCGAGGAACCTCCTCTGTGCGAATACGGAGATCGAGCTGTGATAAACCCTAAGAATACATTGGAGTTTGTGTGTCCGAACAAATACGAAGTAAGTGGAAAGTGTATCTGTTTAAATGTTTATCTCTATATGTGTGCGTGCACTAATGTATTCTCTTATAGCGTTATGGATTTGTGAAGTGTCATTTCAATGAGTGGCTCTATGGTCCTAAGAATCAATGGCCGGAGCCACCAAAGGCAAAGAAAAAGAAGAAAGAAAGGTTAATTTACAAAGCACCTCCAGTCTAGTGCGAATGTGGTGTTAAATCCAACTACGGTCTAGTCCCTTTGGAGCTTGGAATAGGCTATTATTGCGGCCATATGAAAGCACCTCCAGTCAAGGTAATGAAGCTCCTCCTCGGCCTCCTTCAAATGTTCTGCTCCGGCCTTTTTAAAACGCCCCTGCTTAGCTATATTCCTCTACGTAAGTTTCTACCTCTTGACAAAATATTCATTACACTTATGAAAGGAGAACTCAACAATCCAGACACAGGCAACGATCGAACTCCGGTGAATACACGGTTGAAAGACTCCGAGGAGTTAGTGGTCATGATGCCATACCTAAAACCCCCCTCGTCATATGCTAACGCCCACTGAGCATTCTGTTCCATCTACGCCTTTAACCAGGCCTTTCCCGCTTCATTTAGCATCTTGTCTAGTTCTCTCTTTGTCTCCTTGAACTGGTGCTCTGTATGTACACAACATAGAGCCTTTACCTTGTCACATCCTCCTTCCTCTAACGCCGCTAGAAATTAGAGGCAAAGTGTCTCATGCACCATCTGTGCACTAGAGGTGGGAACCCATCTATATGCTCAGCTGCAGCATTAAGAAGCCCTGAGTGACGGTCCGAAATCAGACATATAGTGCGAGATGGGCCAAACACTTGTACACGTAGAAGCCGCATGAACCATGACCACAATTCATTGTTCTCTCCTTCTGCCAAAGCAAAAGCCATGGATACTATCTGGTCCTCAGGATCAACAGCAGCAGCCATCATCAAGGTGTCCCTGTACTTTCCTGTCAGGAAAGTGCCATCAACAAGTACGACTAGCTGACAAAACTGGAATGCATGTTCCGTTTGCGCAAACGAACATAACACACGATAGAGAACATGTCTCAATGGGTCCCAAAAATACATCCCTCCGGTGTCCACAAACCATTTCAAGCCAGGGTTGTAGTAATGCATTGCACATAAAATGCGGGGCACCCTGTTGTACGCTTCCTCCCAACTACCCCAATGAATCGTCAGGGCAATTTGCTTAGCACGCCAAGCCTTTCCGTACTTCACATCATACTTAACGAATCCAGATATGGACTGTTGTAACGAAGACACCGAAATGTCGTTATTGTCATCAACGAGCCCCAATATACGACGGGCAAGGTAACGTGCAATGAGCTGCTGATGATTTTCCTTCCCCCTATTTGTTAGGCAAGTGTGGGGTTCGACCACTTTACTTATCCTCCACTTGCCATCACTCTATCTTTTTTGTGCATTTAACCTCCACATATAACCATTTTTGCATATCATGTGGTACCTCAACTCCTGGTCCGAATGAGTGACGTTGTACGGCCTATGGTGATACACAACATAGTCTTGAAGGAAGAGCTTCATCTCTGACATTGTATTGAATATCATCCCCTTCCTAAGGATTTTTTCTCATGGTCATACAATGATTTCCTACACATCTGGAGACCGGTGTCACAAACTGCCATATCCGTCATGCTAACATCCCTATAGTTCGGAACGCCCCTGAAAGGTACGTTCATCGACCTTAGTTGCTCAAGCTCAGTCACTGTGTAAGGTGGTAGTGGAACATACTGCTGCGCTTCGCTAATTTTGCCCCATGAATCATAGGGGGTATCATCTGCTGGCAAATCTGTGACTAGTCTACCCTAAGCCTAGATAGCATGCAAAACCTTAGTTGGTGCTAGTAATAGCATACCATGAACAGGTACTAGCATGACATCAACCGGTGTGGGCATATCATGTCTATCTCCCTGGTCATCATCTGAATTGTCCGAATCACTGCTAACTACATCACTGATCCTGTCCTCCTCCTGTTCCTCCTCTTCTAGTTCGAACTCGTTCACATCGAAGTCATTGCTTATACAACCTACTTGACTAAAATGAAACTGCTCCTACGTTAACTGACCATCCAAATCCATGTTACCCTGAGTTGCTTCCCCTTCGACCCCCATTTCTTGCTCATTGCCTCCAACATCATCAATAGACGGCCCGTCCAGGACACCCTGCATCCTATACCCATTCTCCACCACCACCTCAGCCATGGGCACATTGGAACCTTGGAGCACCCTATTGTAGCGGGACTAGTGAGCAGGGTCGCGCAAGGGCATCAGGACATAGTGTGCCCTAGTATTCCCAGTATCAAACCTCCCCTTCAATGTGAAATCACCATCAAACTTTGCATTCAAACGGGCACAAAGGTTGTTGAAGCTAGGAGGTTCATCAAACCATTCCAATTCTTCTTCCATATCCTCAACACATACCATCTTCTCTCCTAACACTTCCTCCGTAAAAAACTCTAACACAACAATCCATCTACAAAAGCATTTCAAGAAACTTCATCAAGTCGTTGAAATCGTCGTACGTATTGTTCATAGTAATATTAATACCTATTCTAACTATAACTATACTAATTAATCTAATATTAACACCTATACAAGACTAACTACAACAACTAATTATACTAAATACAATAACTAACTAGACTCACTAACCGTACTAAGTAAACTAACTAACTTTACTAACTGTACTAACTTACTATACTGCCTATACTAACTAAACTAACTAACTTTACTTATTGTACTAACTTACTATACTAACTATACTAACTAATTATTCAAACTAATTTTGCATCTTAACCCTAAGTAACAACAATGTCGATTCAATCAACAAATACACAAGGGGAGTACCTCATGGCAGCAGCGTGCTCTCATCCTCGTGGTTATTGGCGCTTCTCGTCCTCATGGCGGCGGCGCGCGCTAGACTGGGCAGGCGGGGTGGTGCGGGAGGCGCGCGTTAGCCTCCAGCGGCGGCAGGCAGCGGTGGACGCGAGATAGAGCGAGATCGCGCGGCAGCTGATTGAGCGGTGTCTGTTGGCGTGATAGTGAGGGCGGCGGCGGCAGTGGCGGGCGCAGCAGTGAGGGTGGCGACGCGGTAGTGAGGGCGGTGGCGGGCGGGCGACGGGCGTGGCGGCGTGCGTGGGCGACGGGCGACCGGCGTGCGTGGCGGGCGGCGCAATGTGCGTGGCGGCGGCGGCGGCGGTGCGGTAAGCGGCGAAGGCGGTGGGCGTGGCAGCGGCGACGTCGTGGGCGGCGCCGCGGCGACGCGGCGGGCGGCGGCGGGCGGCGCCGCCGCGTCTGCGGCGCGCGTCGCGTGGTGGCGGCGTCCGGCGTCTGGCCGGCAGCGGTAAGGGCGGTGGCGGGCTCAACGGGAGTGCGTGGTGCGACGGCGGCTCTGCTTCAAACGGGTCGAGTGAGAGAGAAGGAAAGGGAAGCGAGGCCGGGCCGCAGGCCTGTACAAGGGTCTACCGCGCCGTGATGCGTGGCGCGGCAGAGCTGGACCACGTCACCGGCTAGCGGCCCTGGTCGCTGCCACGTTGACAGCCTCGCTGCGCCCCATGCATGGCGCGACAGATTGAATTCGCCGCGCCATGCGAACAGGCGCGGCAAAAAGTGCTAGATTTAAAGAAAAAAAATTAAACAGTGTCAGTTTTAAAAATAGTTTAAAAAAAAGTGTTAAAAATAAAAAAAAATCTCAGGAGGTGTGGACAAGAGCGAGCCAGATAGCAAACATGAAAATGCAGAAACGTAGCCCACACAGCACAAACGTTAGCACGTAGCTTCCGACGAGCAGCAGCTGAGGTTCACAAAAGTTTTTTTTTTTTTGACTAATCCAATGGATCTTGCAGACTTCGATGACCAGCGATCTGATTCTCAAGCAACCAACTCCATGGCATTTGCAACTTGCAAGTCGACCACGAAGGTTTTCTTTTGACTTTTTGAGGGTCATATAAATGGGGACTCGGGACTTCATCCTCACAACAGAAGCACATTGACTTCCGCATGCTGTCTTACAGCAGCATGAGCTGTGTATGACAAGGCCATTCTTCAATCTGCAGAAATCTCAAAGCCTCTTTTGAAAGAACGAGTAAAAGATCATCGCTGCGCATACAAGTTAGGTCAAATGACAGTGGGTCAGTGGCTACATTTCTATGTGTGAGGAGAGACAACTAAGTTCATATACCTTAATTCTCATAAAAAAAGAGGCTTAATAGCGGTCCAATGCATAGGATAGTTCTAGTGTCCATTGCATGCTAAACGTCACCTTTGACTTCTCACAGTCCCAGACCCCCAGTTCTTTGGGCCAAAAGATTGACTATATATGTAACCCATCCAGCTCATTGATTCTGCTTGGATTTCTCATTTTCACCCTCATCACTGTAGAAAGTAAGTTTCCAGAAACAATGGCGTTGTACACTTGTACCTGTCATTCCTGTCCAACTAAAAAAAACATTGTGTTTGTCAACAGTGAGGTATCTCTTTTTGCAAGCAAAATGTAAGAGGAAAAGGTAATCAGAATGGAAACTTGGCATTGTAGATCAGAGCTGACCAAGCCAAAACCTAGTTAGAATAATGGTGCCTCGAACCAGTTATATAAGGCATCACAGTGGCTCCACAGGTCATGTAGAACTCAACCCTCGGGGGATGGAGATGCCATCCAGGATCATCTTCTTGTTGGTATTAATCTCCAATATCACAGCTACTCAAAATGCAACTGAAACAGAGCCCAGAACAGTAAATGTTGGAGTCATCCTCAATCTGCAGTCATTGGTGGGCAAAATTGCGCATATGAGTATTTTGATGGCCTTGGAAGATTTCTATTCAGTTCACAGTAGCTACAGAACAAAGTTAGTTCTCCACATGAGGGATTCCAATGAAGATATCCAAGCTGCCTCAGCAGGTACATTTACAATTTGTTCATTGTTAGAACTTAGAAATGAAAGCATAAACTAGCTGTGGAATTTTGTTTTGTATATCATGCGAAGACTAGAGCGTTAAGAATGTGTGTGTGTGTGTGCGCGCGCGTGCTTGGTAGTCCTAGCTTCAAAAGGTCTGCACCGAAGATGCCATCTGTACAGGTAGTCCTACCTTTTTTTCTTGTATACACAGGAGAACTGTGTATCATTACACTAAGAAGGGACAAAATTCCATATTTACAAGAGAAACACCCACACCATCCCTCTCTACTTAAGAAGGTAGTCCTAGTAAAAAAAGTGCGGTTCACGACTAGAATCCATTAGTAATATGTATGGTGTGGTGCATGCTACAAATTTTATTTATACCATTCTATTTGTTGTTGTACATACGAACATCTGGCATGTTTTGTCCATAACTGAAATGTTATGTTCACTAAAGTGTTAGTCTGATATGTTGTTCAATATCTCCCCTAATCATCAGAAAGTAGAGCTGACATATATGCAGAAAGTTAGTGACAAGGTATACCTAAGAAGAATGAAATAAATAAAAGAAAAACACATGCTACAAAACTAAACGAACAACAATGAGGCACCCAAAGATAAGGGTAATTTCTGCTTTCAGTACTTTGATACTTATATTTGCACCTGTTCTGCAGTGCTCATGTTTTATTTGCCCACATTAACACCATAGGAATTTCTTCCAAAAACTCCAACTAAGAATAATGCCATTCTTAGCTAAAATCAGAAAGTTTTTTAATATGTATAATCAAAAGACTGAAACAGGGAATATGGATTATTATACGGGCCAGTGAAAGTGATAATATTTTGAGTTATAGCACTACTGCTTTGCATATGATTTCAGATATCTTAGCTACAACCAGAATATAAACAAATGCACTTGTAAACTAAAGTTCATCCCTGTTACAATTATTCAATTTTACAGCAGTAGACCTTCTGGAGAATTATAATGTGCAAGCAATAGTTGGTCCCCAAAAATCTTCAGAGGCTATTTTTGTGTCTGATATTGGAAACGAGAGCCATGTTCCGGTCATCTCCTTCACTGCAACAAGCCCCACTCTTTCATCTGGAAATGTCCCATACTTTTTGCGTGCAACACTAAGTGATGCAGATCAAGTGAATTGCATCGCTTCTCTCATTAAAGCCTATGGTTGGAAGGAAGTGGTACCCATCTACGAGGACACAGACTATGGCAGAGGTATAATACCATATCTGGCTGATGCACTTCAAGAGTTTGGAGGGTTTATGCCTTATCGTAGTCCAATCTCTGAATCAGCAAACAGCGACCAAGTTGAGCAAGAACTCTACAAGCTAATGACAATGCAAACCAGGGTCTATATCGTGCATATGTCATCTGCTATTGCCTCTATTCTGTTCATGAAAGCCAAGGAGCTAGGAATGATGAGTGATACGTATGCTTGGATCTTGACAGATGGGATCACAAATATTGCTAGTTCACTCAGCCCTTCAATACTTGAAGCAATGAATGGTGCACTAGGTGTGAAGTTCTATGTGCCTAAATCAAAGGAACTCGATAATTTCACTGCAAGATGGAATAAGAGATTCAAACAAGACAATCCAAATGTTGCAGTTGCACCATCTCAGCTAAGCATTTTTGGACTCTGGAGTTATGATACAATTTGGGCCTTGGCGCAAGCAGCAGAAAATGTTAGCATGGGCAATGCAGTATTTCAGAAGCAGTGGCACAGGAAGAACATAACATGTTTTGGAGGTTTGGGTATTTCTACAATTGGTCGAAACCTCCTAGATGCAATCTTACATAGTAAGTTCAGAGGTCTAAGTGGTGATTTTGACCTTAAAAATAGGCAGCTGCAGCCTTCCACATTCCAGATAATTAATGTGGTTGGAGGAGCTCCACAAGAGATAGGCTTTTGGACAGAAAAGCATGGAATCATTAGGAAGCTGGATCAAAACAAATTAGAAACGACAAATGTAAACTCTATGCCTGATCTTAATCAAGTAATTTGGCCAGGAGAATCATATGCAGTGCCTAAAGGATGGCAAATTCCTACTAATGGAAAGAAGCTCCGAGTAGGTGTACGGTATAGTGGATATCCAGAGTTCATGAAGGTGGAAAGAGATCCTACTACTAATGCAACAACTGCTACTGGTTATGCCATCGATGTATTTGAAGAGGTGCTGAAGAGATTACCATATGCAATACCTTATGAATATGTATCATTTGGTACTGCAGACTCTGGGAACTATAATGATTTTGTCTACCAAGTTCATCTTGGGGTAAGGGAATTGCTATTCTTATTTTGTTAGGCAAGGTTCAGAAATTATTTTTTTAAGAATTGAACCATCGTAAGTGAATTGGTACCAGTATCAGATAGAAGTTTTTTAGGAACTAAGCCAACCTCAGTTAGTGGGAGATGTTGATATACATTGTCCATCACCCAAGTTCAAGCCAATTTCGTCTTGAAATGAGGTTGAGTGCCTATTTCTTATTTACAATGCCGCCTGGTTCGTAGTTCCTTCTAGGTGGTCGATTTTTTTTAAGCGCTGTTTTCTTTTCAAAATGTGTGAACAGTGAAACAACTAAGATATTAATTCCCTGCTTTATGAGCACAGAACTCAAACCATATTTACTCAGGAGCATTATTAGTTGTACGAACCAACTAGTTAAGGCACAACTGACTAGATGTTTTGTCTTCCGTTCTGCTTTTAGATAGAATGCCGACTGTGATGTTTCTATTATCCTTATGTTATTCACAAACCCACATGATTGCCAGTGTACAGAGCTTAAGGATTGGCATAGTGATCATCCTGTAATTCAAGTAAAACAAACAGCTTCTACAAGGAGTAAGGACAGAGTTCAAAGTATATGTACACGTTATCTCTAATACTAAATTTACTTTGTATAGAGGGATATCATTGCCTGAACCTTGATTGCTTCTGCTGGGTTTCAACTCTAGCCTACCCCAACTTGTTTGGGACTTAAAGGCTTTGTTGTTGTTGTTGTTGTATAGAGGGATATCATTAGTTTTATGGGTCCAGTAGTTAGCACAACTGATCAGATGTTTAAGTAGAGGTACAGTTATCTTCCAAAAGTTCAAGTAAAAGAAGTGACTTAATGCCTTATAACACTATATAAATGTTATGCTTACAGATATATGATGCAGCAATTGGAGATATAACCATCAGGTACAATAGAACTTCCTATACTGACTTCACACTACCCTACACTGAATCTGGGGTAGCAATGATTGTGCCAGTCAAGGACAACAAGAATAAGAATATATGGGTATTCACGAAGCCGTTAACTACTGATTTGTGGTTTGGAAGCATTGCATTCTTCATCTACACAGGGATTGTCATCTGGCTATTGGAGCGGCGAATCAATAATGCTGAACTGACTGGTTCATTTTTCCGACAGCTTGGGATAGCAATATATTTTTCCTTCTTTGCAGATAGTGAGTGATGATTCTTGTCATCTAATTTACTGCATTTGCAATAGCTAATAAATCCTTTAATAGGTGATGAATTTCTTAATGAATTGTTTGGAAAACAAAATTAATCTGACTTGTACTATTAAATTTAGGGTGAACAGAAAATCTTATATATGTAAATATTCTCCCATTGCAGTCTATCACCATAAATTCATTTCAATAATTGTTTAAATTTCTCAGTACAGACATGACCGATAGTACGTTTAGCATTCACGATTTATTTGAAGGCACATTGATGGTTGTTATTGCTCATCGTGTTGCAGGGGAGAGAGTGGACAGTATTTTGTCTAGATTGGTTGTTATTGTATGGGTATTTGTACTTCTTGTGATTACATCAAGTTATACAGCCAATCTATCATCAATTCTCACCGTGCAACAGCTTCAACCCACAGTAACTGATGTTCATGAACTGCTTAGGAAAGGAGAATATGTAGGCTATCATAATGGTTCTTATGTAGTGGATCTATTAGAAGAACTTGGCTTTGACAGAAGAAAGATCAGGGCATACAATACTCCAGATGATTTTGCTGATGCTCTCTCTAGAGGGAGCAAAAATGGTGGCATTGCTGCCCTCATACATGAAGTTCCATATATCAAAATATTTCTAGCAGAGAATTGCAAAGGTTATACAATGGTTGGACCAATATACAAGTCTGAAGGTTTTGGCTTTGTAAGTTAGCTACACCAGATATGTTGTGTGCATTATAGGCCTCTAAATGTTATGAACTAGGAAACATATACTTGAAATCTGCTTAAACTTGAGAAAATAATAATGGAGATTCCCTGACGGAATTTCTATAGAAACACAGACCACATCTGAAAATAACAACGCACAGTAGCTAAGGCTTTATTTGGCATTGTGGTGGCTTTTCAAAAACAGTTATTTCTTTGTAAATTCAGATTTTGCAGAAAAAATCTTACTAAAACTATTGGCTAATGCTGCAAGTTACATGCAGTCATAACTTGCAGCACTTGTGGCTCAACACATTTCATGCTATTTCAAACAGAATACTGAAATGGAGATGCAAACATGTAAATACATACACAGTGGAGTAGGATTGTGTATATTTAAAGTTTTGTTATTGGTTCTTGAATACAAATTGTTCTGAGAAGATGCCTGATGACCAAAAGTACATGAAGACATTAAATGTACTGACACGCATCAACAAAATTTATGTATCCTACTTTGATCAACACCAGGGGAAAATGGAAAGATGTAGGTTACCATTCACATATTTCTGTTAATCATAATGTTCATCCAACAAGAAACTGGCACTTCCAAGTTCCAATGATAGTAGATCACTCCAAAAGTTGGAAACTGCAAGAACCATGCAATTTCATTAATCTTTAATGCATGTTTTTTGTGGATGTTTGTGAAGCTAAGAATGCTAACCATTTCATTTTTTTTTTAAATAACTATTAGGTATTTGGTTTGTGTATTACTGAATCTGTTGTTTTTGTTGAATAGGCATTCCCCAAGAGATCCCCTATGGTCAACGACTTTTCTAGAGCAATCCTCAGCATAACAGAAGGGGACACTATCATCCACATAGAAAATAAATGGATCAGAGAACGACATACCTGTCAAAATGATGGAACCATCGCCAGCTCGAGTAGTCTAAACTTCAAAAGCTTTTCAGGACTCTTTCTAGTCACAGGGATTGCTTCAACTTCTGCTCTTTTACTAGCCCTGATGATGTTCCTCTACAAAAACAAGCACAAGATAAAGAACAGCATAGGTTGTGATCACCAGACTGAGGAAGGATATGGATCAGAGCATAGCAACGAGCAGAACCAAGACAGGGAACAGGATAGCAACCAGGCACAAAATATGCAGATGACCGTGCCAAATGATGCACAAGATGATGCTTGCCAACAAGAGATAGATATATCCTTAGAACTCATCAGCTCAACTGGTTCAGGAGTCCAAACATGTCCAGATATTTCATCTCATGGAGCAGCAAGCAATGGTTTGTTGTGCCAAGACTGAGTCGATGAACCTAATCCAAATTTCTATTGGGTCCATTCTCCAGAATTCACCCAGACACATTCAAGATGTATTCAAGATGTATTATGTATATGCATGTGCACATGTGCGTCCCAGAATTTCAGTCAATAAAACCAGCTAACGAGCAACCCAACTGAAAGCTAATTGCATTGCAAACTAGCGCATCTTAGCTTTTCAACCAGCCATTATTGTAAAATAAAAAAACATCTCAACATTTCAACCAGCCATTATTGTCAAAAAATTATTAAAACAAAACTAGTCTGGTAGTCCACCTCATATCATGTTTATATGCCATAATACCAACACAAAATGTGTATAAGAAACCAACACAAAATGTGTATAAGAATGATCTGGCGAGAGAAATCAAGCAATATGGCATGCGCGTTTGGGCATGCCCAATCGACGACGATCTGCGCAGTAAAACCTCTAGACCAGAAGAAATGAAATTGAGGAATCCTCGCGCAGGACAGACAGCCTCACCGGCCGCACAACTTCGTGGCCGCCGTCTCGGCGTCACCTGCGAGATCCCCTTTGCCGACCGACGAGCCGCCCAGCGGCCGGCCAGCCGTCCGTCCCCAGCCCGAGAAACGGCTTCCTTGGTTTGCGGAGGCTCCATTTTTCCGTGGTGGGTGTGGACCACGACGCAGGAAGCGGACTGCCTAATGGGCCAAAAGGGTTGCGAATACCGGCCGGATTCCTTCTGGCCTGCTTTGTTGGGCCGAAACCCCGACCCGTCCGTGGGAAAGAAAAATGATTTATCCAGTGAGAAATAGTGAAATAAAAAATTTCTAGAGTTTGCTTTTAGTGCACATGAACCTCGTATTTGTCATTTTCGTATGATTTTTTTCTAGTTTGAATGTGCATCATTTTTTTTTGTGTGAGTACATATTTGTATGTACTATAGATGTGCTAAATTTCAAAAAATTTAAACCAAAATACACCACATATTTTGCATAATGGGACTTGCTAGCGCCCGGACGTCTGATCCGGGATGCTAACGTCGGACGGTACCCGCTCAGTGAGCGAGCGAGCGCCCCATCAACGGGCCCACACCGCCTCGGACGCCGCCCACGCCGCCAGCCGCTTGCCACGCACATCCCATGTGCAACACCCGATCTACTTTTGAAACATTCAGATGCAACAGTCGCAATAAAGAAAGACAGATGAAACACTTAAAACATGCGTCTGAAACACTTGCAAAAACACCTAAAACACTTGAAAATCATTGCAAACATATGCGACATCCAGATGAAACACTTGCAACAGACGTATGAAACACTTGAAACATACGCTTGCAACATACATGTATATGCAACCTCCAGATCTACTTTTGCAACATCTAGATGAAAACACTCGCAACATACGTCTGATATAGATAAAACATTTGAAACATATACTTGAAACATATGTGCATAGCCATTGCAATATATACAACATCCTGATCTACTTTTGCAACATCGATACAAAACACTTGCAACATACATCTGAAACACCTGAAACATATGTTTGCAACATGCGCTTTCAGCGCAACATCTCCTTGGCTCGTCGCCATGTGGAGTTCACCGGTGTAGAGCTTGCTAATGGCGCGGAGCTTGCCGCTCCGGTGGAGAAGGCCGCGACGGATCTAGCGCGAGTTGTCACCGATCCGATGGAGAAGGCTGTCCGTGCGATGGAAAAGGCCGCGGCGACGGGAGGCGCAGCGGAGATGGAGGGGAAGGTGGGCGGCCGCGGCGGGCTGGATGCGTGATGGAGATGGAGGAAGGTGGGTGGCCGCGCATGGGCGCGATGGAGATGCCGGCCGGCGGGCACTCGGATGTCGTGGAAAACACCGAGGCGGCGCTGCGGAGTGCAGTCACGGCGCTGCGGAACGGAAGTGTTCGAGTGTTGGAAGCCTTCTGGAGAACGGAAGTGTCCAAAGTGTTGGAGAGGATACGACCGTTGGGCCATTGAGCTGATGTCGTGGTCTGCTTGCCTCCGGACGATCGGACGCCTTGGCACAGCATTTCTGTTTGCCTAATATCCATCCACTCAGCTTTTCCGAGGCTAGCGGCCTGTTCGCTTGATCGTAAACGATCGTAAATTTTCAGCCAGAACAGTATTTTTCTCTCACACAAAACCAGCGAACAGTAATAATCCACGATCGTATACGATCGTTTGAGCCCCAGCCGAACAGGCTGTTGATAGTCTTCTTCGTAGCAGTGTCACTTGGAGTCGTCCCACTTCTTCGTTCTTTCGTCCAAATCGACGCCCACGCCAAGTTGCCGGAATTGATTCGCGCACTGCTCCTGTTGCTCACTTCGCTGGAAGCACAATTCGGCCGCCCAAGTCAGCCGCGCGCGTTTTTTTTAACTAAAGTTATAAAAGAAACTGAATACAGGCATATTGTTGTGGTACAAACGACTGAATCTGTGTTTTTATTCTCACCATTTGGCTACAATTTTCGTTATTCTTTTTGCAAGTATGAGTGCTATACACATTCGCGAACACAACAGGTATGCCATATCCTTTAGCTCTCAATCGTCTGGCTTAGTGCATACAAGAGCATAAATTCGATAAGCATGTTTGTCTTTGCATAGCAGGATCATTCTACTTTAGAGCACTTCGATCTCGATCATAACTAATTTCAGCTTTATATCACTCCTACAAACCCCCTATGCTGCACTTGTTGTTCACTTGAGAGCACGGGAGGCACAGATTAAGGCGATTGGATGGAGAGAACAGCAGCGCATCATGTCAGACATGTCCTACACCAACAAGTCCTTGAAAGCTTGTTGCTTATAGGAGCTGCTGCATTGTGCTGGTCTGGTCACTTTGGCTTACAAGAAATGAATTGGTATTTGATAAATACAGTCCAAAATCTATTTTGCAGGTCGTGTTCAGAGCTACGCGCTGGCTACGGCAGTTGGGGCTGTTACAAAGGAGTGAAGGCATGAAGAAGTTTATTGTCCAAGGATGCAAGAAGTTAGAGACTACGGCTCTGCAGTGCTCAGCTTTCTTCAGATGGCCTTATGATCTTAGACTTATTGTTTAGTTTTTGGTTAAAAACTGGTTTTGTGCTATCGTCGATGTTTTGATCAGCTGATATGTTGATGTTCTTCTGTATTGAACTCGTGGCCTAATTCCTTCTCGAAGGAAGAAGCCGGTTGTTTAATCTACCGTTATCTAAAAAAAGTCCTTGGAAGCTTCGTTCTCGTTCGTTACTTCGTTGCATCGCTAGACACATTCAGCGTACAAAGGAAGGTTTCTTAAATGACTGAAGAAGATCTATTTACTTTATTATTAAGATATATGTATAGGTGGTTATATGTAAGTTCTCCATATTTTCCTCCTCTGTTTCCCGTAAAATACATTTGTTGCAGAAGGGAACGGTACTTTGCAAGTAAAGGGGAATAAAACTTTTGGTTAGCCCAAACAAAGTAATAACATATTTCAAAACACATATAGGAACAAAACTTTCGGTTGGCTCCAAGAAACGAAATGTCAAAATGATATGGGCTATGATGTCACTGTGCATGGGTTGGACATGGGTTCACAGGTTTTCTCAATCTGTATGAGAATATCTTCTTCTTAACAAAACGCTCGGGCTGTTTTACCCTCATAGGTCGAGAGTTTTTTTTAATAAAAATCTAAATTTTATCGATCCCTTCCCGGCTTCCCCATTGATGCAACTGTAAATTCCCATGGCACCACAGTAATCAGGATTGAGAGACACGGGGGTAAAATTAGGTAGTAATAATGCCGTTCGCTCCTATTCACCTTCGTCGACGTATTTATCAGTTTATCTGTGTACTAACTTGTTGGAACTAGATGACTAATTGCTAGTATGTATTACTCCCCCGTTGTAAATTTTAGGACTTTTTAGCTTTTCTAGATATACATTATTTAATGTATCTAGAAAAGTTAAAACGTCTTATAATTTAGAATGGAGGAAGTAATACTGTGATATATAGCGTTCAAATATTCAGTTAGACTTTGATAACTTGCAATCTAATCTTTTACCAATGAACCCCAAGTTGAAGAAGGTTTTCTTCAATAATCAACTTAGAAGATGGGGCTTATCCTCCCAACAGGACCGTATTGACTTGACTGCAAGTTGTCTTATGACGACAACATAAGTTATTGTGGCAAAGCCATTATTCCATCGCAAGAATAATCCCAAGCCTCTTTTTAGAGGAAACATGACAAACAAATTCAACGCGCTCTTTGCTTCCTGAGAAGGGATTCCACTGACCAGCAGTCCAGCACACGCCATTTAGTTCCCGAGAACCAATTCGTTTGGACTTGACTTGACTTTGCATGTAGCTTGCTGCAAACCCAGCAGAATTTCCCAGGGCTTTGGGCTACAGCAAATAAACAACAAAAGTCATGTAACAGAACCAAACAAACATTGATACCGAGTGTTTCTATTAGTCACTGTTTTCTGTCACCGGTAAAATAAATTAAGCCGTGAGACATTAGATGACAGAAACTACTAACTGAACTTCCTTACAAGTTCCAGATCGATGATCAGTATTCAGAAGCAACACAACCTTTCGTCCCGAGAACAAATTCCAACAACCAATTCGATTTGCATGTAGCTTGCGGCAACTCAGCTGAACTTTCCAGTGCTTGGACTACCGAAACTGATATCTAGAAAAGCTGTAGACCAGAAATCAACTAAAACTAAGGTAGGATATAGAAACAATCAACACCGAAAGTGATACAAGATGGCCAGATGTCATTATTAAGTATATTGTATATACTACTTCCTTCGTCCACAAATATAAGTACTACTAGTATTCAAATTTTATCAACAAATATAACAATTTCTTAGTATGTAATCAGGAGCTGGCCAATCGGAAGCTAGCTAACCATCAATTGTGCTAATCAAGACTGGCTGATTCAATGATGGGCATAAATGACTTTCCTTCTCTACTTAATTGCCCCTCTTTGATACCACTTGTAGCATTTGCTTGTATACCATTTACAAAACTTTTTATACCACAAGGCTGAGAGTTGTAAAATATTGAAAAGTAAACTTTTTGATGTTACAAGAATCTAGGCCCTCAACAAGCTGTGCTATAAATGACATGCACAGCAGCGCAAAACAATTCAGTGGCCGTGCATGCAGCTACGGTAGCAATGGAGAAAATACCTCAAACCATACTGTTCCTTCTTCTACTGGTCTTCACTTTCGTTGCAGCTGAAAATAGCACCGCACATAGAGGTGGGGGTGGGGCAGACGAATTCCATGTAGGGGTGATCCTTGACTTGGGTTCGTTGGTGGGGAAAGTATCACTAGCCAGTATTTCACTGGCTGTGGAAGATTTCTATTCAGTCCACCCCAACTACAGCACGAAGCTAGCCATCCACGTCAGGGATTCCATGGGCAGTGAAGTCCAAGCTGTTTCAGCAGGTATGTCGATGTTACAAAATCATAGAAATACATAGATATACTCTTGCTCAGTTCAGCTTCAATCAACAAAAAAAAAAAGAAAACATCCGTATGTTTTATTACAGAAACCAATAATGTTATCCTACACAAACATATATATGGCTTTTGATTGCAACTGTCATATATAGACGAAGGCGACACACGTCATGGTAGCAGTCGCTCAGATAAATTAAAATAGAATACCACTTGAGCACATTTTTATTAGAGTCCTCAACATCAGAAGTGGGCTACAAGTTAAAAAGTTTTCTTTGCCTTTGAAAGGGATGGAATGCTCTAATTGTAGTTGTATAGAAGGCCCCAAGCCAATGTTTTTGGCCAGCCCAAGCACGGCCTGACTTGGTACCAGGTGCCATGCTCGTGCCATCATCCTAACATGCCTAGTAACACGAAACTGCTCGTTAAACAATGGCCAGCCTATGCTGGTCTGTATCCAACAAGCCAAGCCACGAACGCCCAGGCATGTCACAAGTGAAAGCCACAAAGTCGGTCTTGCTGACCGATGCCTCCACAAAGCGCAGCGGTGCAGCGCGAGCCCCGGCCCCTGCTTCCACCTTCACCTCGCACCGATGAATCCTCCATGATCATACCCTCTATGGGCAACTACTCCACAGTCGTGCCCTCCAGGCTTCATGCACGCGTCTTGGACTCTAGCAAGGATGATGCAATGGTTTATCCTGATTTGGGCTATCGGGGCCCTACGTCCAGCAGCAGATGATCCTTGTATTCCACATAGCACCCAAATCGGGGGCGGGGTTACAACAAGAAGTGTAAGAGATTTGGAAGGGGATCACTCGGTGCTATCCTAGGCTCATCGGTGGTGAGGTCTCTTCCTCGTTGGAGAGGAAGAAGATGATGGCGGGTAGGATCTCTAGTACTCCTCTCAATGTGGCCCTGCTCTTGGTGGAGAGATCTGAGTTGTCGTGAGGACTCTGTCCATTCTCTATTCGTCCTCTGTTCGTCTTCCCCCCTCTATAGGATCGACCTTCCCTTATATACTGAGGTAGGTCGGGTACATGGTGGTTTGGGGGGTTTAGTCTATGGTCTATGTATGTCAGAGTCCAGGAAGGCACTACTATGGAGTGAATTGACCTCAGCATTGTTGCGGAGCCAAAGAAGCCTAGGGCGTCATTCGACTGCTCTGCTCTAATGCTCTGACCGTTAGGCCTTGTCGGCTTGGACCGGCCTCCACCTGGTGCACTTTCTGGAGGCTTCCTTGGTGGCAAAGGTGTTTGGCTTGAGGGGCTGACGAGCGGGCCTAGAAGCCCCCGAGCCCCTGAAGCCGATGGAGGGGTTTTGTCCCCTTGTGTCACGCCCCATGCGTGACCTTGTCGAAAGAGTGGACAACAACGCTGCGCCCGTTGGGCAGCGTCGAGGAGCCCCCGAGCCCTAGGGCGCTCGGGGTGCTGGGTTCTAGCCTGGCCCTTGGCCTGCGCTGGAGGCAGGGCCAAGGATTAGGCTCATGCTACCGTTGAACAGGAGCATGGGGCTCGGACGAGCCCTTGAGCCCTTAACAGAGGCAGAGGGCATGCTCGGGTTTTGCCCAATCCTTGGCCGGAAGCTGCGTGCGAGTGCACCTGATGGGTGTAGCCCGCGAGCCCCTGAGCAATCTTGGAGAGATCAGTCGGGGGGTCGTTCGATCAGGAACTTCTTACCCCGGGACATAACATATCCCTATGTTATAATCTCGTCAGACGGCTTATATTCCTCCGTGTCTTAGTCTTCATCTAGTATACAAGGACTATCTTAGACTAGTGATACCATTAACCTATGTAACTAACTAAACACATAGTCAAGAATGATTAAACTTAAATATATAACACTATAATATATGAAATTAAACCACTCATAGCATAATTGCATATGCAACAATTTATAGTTAACAACCAAACTAGAGCTCTTCCTATGTGCTCCCGCCACCACCCTATTGCTTCCCACTAGCTAGTGTTCATATTCTTCGACCAAATCCTGCAACTTGCCTTCTCCCATCATCCATTCTCAATCCCTCTCATGTCACCTCTTTGTCGCCCCTCCTTGATAGGGACCAAGGGCCATGGAATCCAAAACCCTAAGCCATTCCCTTTCCATTTCCATAAGGTGAGGCTTTTCATGCACTTTGAGCATGGAAGGTCATCTATGGATGGTGCTTCCCCATGCGAGCTACTTTGGTGTTAGCCATCTCTTTAGACCTTGGCTCTTTAGAGCTGGTATTAGTAGTCGAGGTCCTCCATCCCTTTTTCTAGGGCCTACACCTCGGGAAGGGTTCTTTATCTCATCCAACCCTTCTTGGGCTTGGGTGGTGAGGCATATCCTTCGAGCAGCTCATTTGCACCCTCTAGTGCCATGTAGTTCAAGATGGCAACGGGGCCCGATACCTGATACTTGACGGGGATTTCATCCATTAGGGGACGTTCGTGGACTGAAACTGTCCCCCGCGGGGATGTTCATGGACTAAAATTGATCCCTATCGGGTGAAGCGGGGGCTGTAACGTTTTAGCACTCCCCGTCCCCATCACTCGTCGGGTCACCCGACTAGCAGGCCAAAAGGAGCCCAGTGCTAGATGTTCAGCCCAACCCAAAATAAATTTAGCCTGGAAACCCTAGCTCACACTGCCCACACCCATCCTTTTCCATGACTCATGGCCGTCGCCGCCCTCATGACTCACGCTCTCGACGCGGAGTCAGAGAAGGGGAACGCGGAGTCGTGCCGCCGCCCTTACACTCCCTCAGTTTTGCTCCCTCCGCACTCAGCAATGGCTTCTTGATGAATCCTGATGCTTCTTCTTGCGGTGTTGTGCCTCCCTCTATCGACATCAGCTCTCTTGCAACCCTCTACATCGGTTCCTTGGCTCTACTTCCCCTCGCCCTTCTACTTTCCCCATCGCAACGCCGATGCGGGCAAAGCCACCCCTGACTTGCAGTCGGGTGCGTGGCACCCATCGGGGCCCCACAACTCCAATCGAGGATGGAAACGGGAGAATGATAGCCCAGATGAAGGGGAACGGAGACGGGGAGCGAGGGAAACCGCAGACATCGGGGACGGGGACGGGGTTCTAGTCCCCACCGGGGATGTCCCGTTGCCATCTTGACATGTAGTTGTTTGGTTATTGGTCATCACTTTGTTGCCTTTTTATTGGTTCCATTCATCATCGCCCCATTGCTCCTCCATCCCTATGTGATGCTTACACAACTTGTAAGGTTGTAGGGACAATCACAACTTACCCTGCACCTCCCCTTCCCATAGAGGTTGTTGGGGTGTTATGTGCTTTTAGTGGTCAGGTGCTAGCTTTGGTGCATCACATGTTCAAACATAAAAGACAATAGGAGAACATAATTAAAATATGCCTACAAGATCCCCAAAAGGAAGTACACATGTTTAATCCATCTTACAATACTTGTAAATCATGAAATACATGTGGACTACGGACTACCTCTGGAACTTTTTGTAGGGAGATGATATGCATCTTTGCTTGAATACCCATCACATGGGTTGGCTTTCTCTGACATGAATGCACCCTCTAGTGTCCACCCCTGGATTTGCCACTCCTTTGGCTCTGAATGCACCATCACCCTTGAGGACAACCTAGATGTATTTCACTACCAAACATCACCTTTTGGTATGTGATCGATACCTGATTTCAGTCAAGGATTACCTATCTATGGTGTGGGGAGCCGATGTCTTATGGGTATGCAAAACTAGAATAGAAATGGATTGGGCAAGTCAGCCCATGTGGGTTGGACCAACATTAGTCTTGCTCATATATTGTGGATATGTTGGCATTAGGACCTTCTAGAAGCAATAATGTTCACCAAAATGTTAAATGATAAATAGTCAGGAACCTATCATTTAGTGTTTATTCTGGCTACACGGCCACTTAACTAGGTTACATGTCCAATTAAACAGGATAAACGGTTAATTAAACGGACATGGCTGGTCATTGAATAGTGTTTAAATGGACTACACGGCCATTTACTATAACAAATTTAGAACCCATTGTTGCACTTGCATGTGGGCCTTGCACATCAAAATATTTGAGAGTAGATCTAGTGGATAAAATAAGTTGGCCCTTCCTTTAATGACTTGATCTCATGGTAAACCTTCCAAATCTGGCATGTTTCATTCTTAAGAATTCAGCTAAAAATCGAATATGGACAAACATATGGTCATGGATATACTTGGCCATCGGGCCGGCCCGGCTTGGCACGGCCCGGAGGATGTCGGGCCGGCACGGCACGCCGTGCCTCCCGTGCCGTGCCGCTGCGGGCCTCGTGCCTTTCCATCAGCCCAAGGACGGGCCTGTGGGCCGTTTTTCGTGCCGGGCCGGCCCGAGAAGCACGGCTAATCCAGCGTGCCGGGCCGGCCCAAGGCCCACTACACCGACAGAGAGAGAGAGAGGGGGAGGCTAGGGCGCCAGGCTATCGTCGTTGCTTCGGAAGGACATAGACGACGTGACCTCTCCATCCGCGGAGGATGAGCGATGAGGAGGCCAGATCCGTGGAGGATGAGCGATGAGGAGGCTGGATCCGTGGAGAACGAGGCCGGATCCACGGAGGATGAGCGATGAGGAGGCCGGATCCGTGGAGGATGAGCGATGAGGAGGCCGGATCCGTGGAGGATGAGCAATGAGGAGGCCAGATCCGTGGAGAACGAGGCCGGATCCATGCAGAGGAGGCATGTGGAGGAGCAACAGCGCCTGGCGGTGAGGAGGAGGTGGCCACCGTCGGCGGAGGCGGGTTGGAGTGGAGGTGGGATTCGGCGAGCCGCGGGGAAGCAGGAGCTCGAGGCATCGGCGGCCGGCGGGGTGGAGCTCGAGCACGCCGCGCTCACACCCAAGGCGCGGCCTTGTGGAGGGACAGGAGGAGAGGAGCCCGAGGCAGGTCGCGGATGGCCGCCATGGCATTCTACAGCTTGTGCACGGGGAGGAGGTGGGCGGCTGTAGGGCGGAGAAGCAGGTGAACGGTGGGGAAGGAGAAGGCTGCGTCCACGCCGCGTGTGTGCGGAGTCGCCGGTCACGTTGTGTCCACGCGTGTGCGGTGCAGGGAACGGGAGGTGGCGGCGGGGAGGGGGAGGGCCGGAGGGGAAGGCCGGAAGGGAGTTAGGGTTCGGCCACTGGTGGTAGTGTGCTGCGGCTGCACGGGCCGTGGGGGCGGGGCCATATGAGGAGGGGCCGAGGGGGGGAGGCGGGGATGCTGGGCCGGCCGCGCTGGGCCGCACTGGGCCACGGGGAATGGAGGAGGAGTGAGGAGGGGGAGGGGGGTGGCCGGGCCGCTGTCGGGCCGGTTGACTCAGGCCGGGCCGTGCCGTGCCAGCCCATGGGCCTAAGCAGTGGCCCAGGCATGGCCTGCTGCCTCGGGCCAGGCCAGCTCGGGCCCGCATGTCACCGGGCCGTGCCGTGCTCATGTCGGGCTAAAAAACGTGCTTCGTGCCGTGCCGTCGTGCCTCGGGCTGCATGGACAACTATAGTCATGGGTTGGGCCTAGCTAACCCACACAGTTTAGTGGGGAGGGTTGGCTAGTCTCCTTTGCTAGGTTTTGTTGACCATCTATTTCCTTGGACTTGAGCTTGTAGATCAATGGGCTTTGTGCAAATCACTTCATTTTTTTGCCATTTTTCTAAATAATACACAACATAGACTAAATATGAAACCACATGGAAAACTTATAGGCTAATGTATACAATAATAGTATATATATATGAAATATGTGCTAATATATATTAAGAGAATATGGGGGCTAGATGTGTGTGTGGATAGTGAGCACCAACACTGTTATTGCGATAAAGAATTTCATTCCAACCTTGGAAAATGTCAATGTTATGTTCACATCGGACAAAGGCAAGTTGGAGATGGCCTTCGAATATTTTGACTCCATTTTGGGATAGTCTTAGGAAGATCACACTCCTTAAAACTTGATCGGCTTAGGTTTTCATCGCTTTATCTCTCCCATCTGTGTCAACTATTTATCTAAGAGGAGATTTCAAGGGTGATAGCCCACCTAACCTCCTGGTCCCCTATTAGATAAAGAAGTAGGACTAGACATGTTCATTGGTATGTTATACAAAATAGCTTGGTCAATCATCAATTTGTAGGATTCGGTCAAAAATCATCAATTTGTAGGTTATCAAAGCCACCTTCAATGCACCATTGACACTACACACATAGCTTCCATTTGGTCAATAGGCTACTATGGTCCTCCTTCTAAAACCACAAAACCCAAGCTTGTGGTGGACTATTGCCCCCATAAGCCACATACATAGGTTTAGAAAGTTGATCTCTAAGGCACTTGCAAACTAGCTAGCACTTTATCTCTCCTCTTTGGTTGCCTCCAACCAAAGTGTTTTCATCAAGGGTTGACATATTCATGACAATTGTTGGTTTGTGCAAGTTGCAATCAACCCCTTGCATGTAAATGACTACCATAACTCCTCAAGGCCAACATTTTAAGGGTCTTCAACTCTATGTCTTGGCCATTCCTTCTAGAGGTGAAGGGGAACATGGGATTCCCTAGCTTTAGTCCAATTGGATATCATGGATCCTCTCCATGACAAAACATAGATTTTCTTGATTAACAAAGAGACATGGTGTCGCATACGTTGTCATGTTATTGGTCTTTGGAAGGGGGATCCCTTGTTGATAATGGTTTTCTTACTAGTCATAATGCCTCATCATGATGATCAACAAAGTAGATGAGGCATCCTTTGTTCACACCAATTGGACACTACTCGATCTCATGTATGCTAATGACATGGCTAGCTTTCTCTTAATGGTGACCTTAGAACCTATCCAAATGCCATATTACACAAATCTATTGTAGTCATAAGGAGGTGGACATGGCACTAATGCACTTCTCCTTGCCAGTCATAAACTTTCAATGAAAATACCTATGCACCTCACTCTCATGACCAAAGTCAACAATGTTGACATACAATTATTAGTTTACAAGGTTATAGATAAGCTCACATCGGCGACCAACTGATCCTCACCAAGTCACAATCACCATCTATCTGGCCATCTCAACTAATATTCACCTTGGGCTACCACACAATTGAAAACCTTTAGAGAGCCTTCTTGTGGTGAGGAACTTAGACCATCTCCTTTGGACATTTCTTGGTTACTTGGCTAAATATGTGTTTCCCAATGGATCTTGGAGGTCTAGGCAATGATGAGATGTTCCTCTTTGGCATTGTTGTATGCATGAACTGGCTTTCGATGAGCATGATAGATGGCTCTCACATTTTGTTATCTTTCCCTATTAACTACAATCATCCCAACATGATCTCTCACTATTTGAACCTTCTGTGATAGTCTAGGTTAGGGATGTATAGTCTTGTTTCTTCTAGAGGGTCAAATGGATTAGTGACCAATTCATTAAGTCCCTTCCCCTAACCTTTTCCTAATAGTCCCAAGGATAGAAACGTAAGGACTATCCATGAGGTGCTTAAATCCCATCGTTGGGTGTGAGAGATTTGTGAGGAGGTCTCACCGTCCAAGTGATCCTTGAGTACCTAAACTTACGGATACAATCTGCCTCCTCCTAGATGTCCCTAACTCCCACATATGGAAGTATATAAGGTATGGGTTGTACTCTATGAGTTCAGCCTCCCTTAGTCTCTTCATTGCACAACCTATCATGGCTAGGGACATGCCAACCATGTAAGGTTTATTCAACAACAAAGTGTCACTTCTTTGCCTAGCTTGAGGTACATTGGCATTTTTTGACCTTCAAGCGCTTAGAAACATCATCAGCTGCCTAATAGTGGCCAACATGCTATTTGCTCACAATGAACTCCTAGATCTCTTTATGGATGTGTGTACATTAGGAAAACTTGGCTCAACCTTCTTCAACAACCTCACTTGCCTGGACTAGCACCTATGATTGACACACCTTTTTGGAGTGGTTGATTGAAATATGGAAGTCGGTAAAGCCATGAAGATGGAGTTTTGGTTCGATTGTTGTCCTTTGTATTTGTTGGAATGAGTGCAATGCGGTCAGGTTGCGGAATACGTGCAATGTAGTCCCCTTATTTCCCACTAGAGACTAGTCCCACCCTCGCCTATGTTTGTTGTTGTCGCTACGATTTTGAATATTTATGTTCTGTTGTCTTGTGGTGTTGTCACCAGAATCATTTACAACCTTAAACAAGCCCATTATGCTTAAATAATTTTTCCAATTTTGAAAGCACTGGAAAACAAAGATGCACAAGAATTGCAAGTCTTTTTTCACTGATATTATTTGATCAAATTTTCATTCTTATTCAATTCTCAAGCTATTGAATTACGGGAGAACTACAAAGTGCAAGCCATCATTGGCCCGCAGAAATCATCGGAAGCTACATTTATATCAAAACTTGGAAGTGTAACACAAGTACCTATTGTATCATTCACAGCAACAAGCCCCTCTCTCACTTATGATAGTTCACCATATTTTGTGCGTGCGACATTGAATGACTCAGTTCAAGTGAATAGTATTGCCTCTCTTATCAAAGCGTATGGATGGAGAGAGGTAGTGCTGGTATATGATGACACTGACTATGGGAGAGGCATTCTACCACACCTCATTGATGCACTTCAACATAGTGATACTTATGTTCCATATCGCAGTGGTATCTCTTTGTCAGCAACAAGTGAAGACATTATGCAAGAACTATACAAGTTAATGGCAATGCAAACAAGGGTATTCATTGTTCATATGTCATCGACAAGGGCCTCTCTTATCTTCACAATGGCTAAGGATGCAGGGATGATGAGCAAAGGATTTGTGTGGATCATTACAAATGGATTAGCAAACATCATCGATGTACTCAGTCCATCTGTCATTGAGGCAATGAATGGTGTAATAGGAGTAAGATTTCATGTTCCCAAATCACAAAAACTTGATACTAGTTTCTTAATAAGATGGAACAAAATTTACCAGCGATATAACCCTATCCAATTGCCACTTAATAAATCAATAAGCATAGTTGGGCTATGGGCCTATGATACAGTTTGGGCTTTAGCACAGGCTGCAGAAAAGGTTGGGGTGTCTGGCAACAGAAATAAGAGACTGCAGCCCCATAAAAACTCTACATGCTTGGACTCATTGGCTATTTCCATAAATGGTGCTGAGCTCCTAACAGAAATTGTACAAAACAAATTTCGAGGTATAAGTGGAAACTTTGACCTTACAGAAAGACAATTGCAAGTTTCTGTATTACAAATAATAAATGTCGTTGGAGGAACTTGGAGACATGTTGGGTTTTGGACTTCGAAAAATGGACTTTCACGGTACTTAAATCAAAATGAATTGGAAATAACAGGGTCATCAGCCTCAATGCCTGATCTGAATTCAGTAACTTGGCCAGGAGAATCAACAGAAATACCAAGGGGCTGGGAATTTCCTGCAAGTGGTAAGAAGCTTAGGGTTGGTGTGACCTCAAGTGCATATCCAGAGTTTATAAGCACATCAAAGGATCCTGTCACGAATGCAACAAAAGTGAGTGGCCTTTCAATAGACATATTTGAGAACGCACTAAAGAGGCTACCTTTTGCACTTAGCTATGAATACCAGGCATTTGATACAGCTGGAGATTCAACGAGTTCAAGGAGTTATAATGATTTCGTTTACCAAGTTTATCTTCAGGTAAGAAATGATTTATAAAAGATATTGTCCAGTTTCTCAATCTGCCTTCCATATATATTTTACTATAGTAAATATTAGAAATGTATAGACTAACTGATCATATGGTTGTTGTATTCTTTTAACAAAAGTTGCACCAGGCTATATAAGTGCAAGTCACTCCATAGTGGGTGCAAGGTGCTCCCCAATTCCTTTCTACCTTTCCACATAGTATTATGAGTCCAAGTTTAGATATGTCGCTTCTTTTAATACCCGAATATAGTTTACATGCATAGGCTGAACAAGGAGAGGAAATAGGAAAGAAAGAATGCAAGAGAGGTTGCCACATGCCCCCTCCCTGCGTTTTCTTCCTTAACTAATGGGGGCATTGAATTATTTCTCCTTCAAAATTGGTGAAATATTTTAATTGGAGCTATGTCCACTAGTAATAACTACCTTTTTCATTAGTGTCTAGGAGCAAACATGAATTTCCCCTTGTCCTCTATCAAAATCCCTGAAAATATAGAGTGGCCAACAGAAAAATTTCCCATCAAATGTCTATTGACCACTAATTTTCTCCCTTTTCTTGGATATAAAAGAACATGCATTGTTGAATCATTTGTATCTCACAATTTACAATCATTTTTTAAGAAAATAGAAATACAACTAACTATTGCTATTGCAGAGGTATGACATAGCAGTTGGAGACATAACAATCATATACAACAGATCATTGTATGCCGACTTCACGATTCCGTATACGGAATCAGGCGTGGGGATGATTGTCCCAGTCAAGGAAAAAGTGGACACAAATATGTGGATTTTCTTGAAACCACTAAGCCAAGGAATGTGGTTCAGAAGCATCATATTCATTATTTACACAAGAATTGCTATCTGCCTGTTAGAGTATCTAAGTGGCAACAGATATCTACATGGTTCCTTTTCACTTAAACAACTGGGGATTCGGATTCTGATGTTCTTCTTCATATTTGAAGAGAGTTGAGTAAAACACTAAAACATTATTTTTTTTGTTGGTCTATGTATGCAGTTTTTTAACCATGGCAATTAGTGCCAAATAATTAGATTATTAATGTACAGTTGTCCTAGATAATACATGCATTGAACCTTCTTAAAAATGTAGAAGCATTGAAAAGTTCCTGCAAGAAGATTTTTAACACTAAAGCTCCATTGTTTTAGAAAGCAGAATGCACTGTATAACCCATCTTGATTTCCTCAGGAAAAAGGTAGATTAAACCTGAAAAGATATAAATTCTAAAAATAAAATAATAATAATAAAGGAAATAGCCTCAATGAACAAACACTGGATGTATAGTCTGAGAAAACAAATACTACATATCCGCTTTGTTGAAAATCCCATAGTAGCATGCTTGCTTTACCTCAGCTTTGCACATTGACTTGGTTTATTATAAACACATCTTTTTATATTTACTTCTGCAGAGGACATGCTCGAATCTTTTCTATCTCGAATAGTACACCGTGTATGGAAGATTGTTCTTCTAGTCCTTGCATCAAGCTATACAGCAAGCTTTGCATCAATACTTACTGTACAACAACTTTCACCAGCATTGACTGACATTCATGAACTTCAGAAGCAAGGTGGATATGTAGGATTCCACCAAGGTTCCTATATGGAGGGTCTATTGGTGGATATTGGTTTCGATAGATCAAAAATGAGACCCTATGATACTCCAGATGATTTCCATGCTGCTCTTTCTAATGGAGTTGAAAATGGTGGTGTTGATGCACTTGTTCTAGATGTTCCATACATCAAGTTGTTTCTTGCAAAGTACTGCAAAGGGTACACAATGGTTGGACCTATTTACAAGAGTGCAGGGTTTGCATTTGTAAGTTCAGCTTCATCTATCTCTTAATTTTTGAAAAAAGAATTGCTACTAAGCTACCATGGAACATGTACCGTTGAAAAATTATGCCTTCATGTACTGAATTAAATTCCATATTCCTATGTCTTACTTTACCTGAAAAGGTTAGATAAATCAGGATGAATAAATTATTTTTTTATATGCATGGTTTTGTTGAATCTGATACAATGTGATATCCTTTCTCTATTGTGGTCTGGTTGTTAGTATCTCAGATCGGTTAGTGTTAAACTTTCAACTTCTCAGTTGTAACAGGTCTACTTTTTGGCTCCCTAGTCAGGCTTAATTATTTGCTAGACTTGTTCCTTTGGTTTGATGGTCTATTTCTAAACTCTTAAGTCTTAAACCTGTTTCTCCATCTGTTTGCCGGGTGTTTCCCTTCATTAATAGAAAATGGTTTGCCCTGGTTTGAAAAAATAAGGTACTCTTTGAATAATGTCAGTATGTTTAACCTAATATAAACATTCTCTTTACTGATTAGGCACTTCCCAAGCGGTCTCCGCTACTTGCTGAGCTATCTAAGGCGATCATCAACATAACAGGAGGAGATACAATCATTCAAATCGAAAAGAAATGGATTGACCAAAATAGTTGTCAACATGATGAAGAAATGGATGGTTCGGGTGCTATCACTTTTGGCAGTTTTAGGGGGTTATTCCTCCTAACTGGATTTGTCACAGCCTGTTCCATTCTTGCAGCGTTTCTTATGTGCCACTATAAAAAACAAGAAGAAAGTCGTCATATTCATGATGCAGATAAAGGTAATGAAGAAAATGGAGACTGCAATGATGATATAGATAATCAAGCAACAATATTGGTGCCTGATAGTCCGAACACAAATAGCATATCTGATGGAGTATCCGCCGAGCCATTTACACAAACTGACAGTTGTCAGGCTTTGTCAGCGCACTTCGTGCACTAGCGGAGAGTCCGCCAAATTTGACGGACTGTCCGTCAAATCAGCCCATGCAGCAGCACTTAGGTGACACTTTGAGAGTTTCTTTTGACCCCACACCCCAGCCCAGCTGTCCACTTTGTGGAGAGCGAAACCAGAAGCACCAGCCAGCCCACACCCTCACTCTCACACTCACTCTCTCTCTCTCTCTCTCTAGTTCATCCCTCTCTCTCTCTCTCTACTCTCTCACACATCCAAGCAAGTAAGGAGGAAGAGAAGGGGAAGAGATTGGAGGCTAGCACCAGCACCTTGGAGCCATCTCATCCTCGCCGTTTGGGAGCTAGGAGGAGGAGGCAAGAAGGAGAACCAAGTCACCAAGGGGGAGTTCCAGCTTCTCCACTACACTGAGGAGCTTGAGATCTTCATCTTGCTGCCCTTGGTAAGCACATTTGAGGCTCCATCACAAATTCTTGCTTCACATGAACCTAAACCTAGAAATGACCAAATCAAGACATAGGAAATGTTTGAACACAATGTAGCTAGAACCACCTGGCTAGATACATCCTATAGTATGCTAGGAACTTCCCTTAGTAAGGTTTTCCACATGCAAACACCATAGCACAAGAATTGCATTTCGAGTTGTACCAAAATAGCACTGTCTAGGATCTGGCGGAGAGTCCGTCCCACCTGGCGGAACATTCCGTCAATGCTACAGCACGCCTAAACACTTAAGCAGAGCACTGAATAATTTCACGGTGCGTTCGTCACCACTAGCGGAGTGTCCGCAAAATTACTCATCAACACAGAGAGGTTAGGAGCTACAAACTTGTCTTGGCGGAGTCTCGTCAAACCCCATGGAAAGTCCTATAGGAATACTTTTAGGATTAAATTCCAACCTGAGAGACGTGAGTTCGTGGTGGAGCATCCGTCGAATATGGCAGGACATTCCGTGCGAACCCCAACATTTAGAAAAACTAAGTACCCTACAGACTTGCCCAGACAGACTACTCGTCACCCCTGACGTAACGTCCCATCCTCCAATTCTGGAGAACAGAGACCTCCAGAGGCTACATACTTCACTGACGAAGAGTTCACGCCCTTTAGCGGAGTGTCTGTCACTGCTACACAAACTTGATCACCAAAATGCCTAAGTCCGTGTATGCTCACGGAGTGTCCGTCTAAATAAAATTTTGCAACCCAAGGCTAGCAAGCTTCTATCCAGCCTTGACGGAGCGTCCGCGCCTAGTGACGGAGTGTCTGTAAGGTCACACACCCACAATTTCACTTAGTGTCAACCACCGCGGACTGTCCGATAGTATTGACAAACCACCCGTCAATACAGGCCGACAACCCATACACCCTATGCCACATAAACATAATACATGTGATTAATTCATAATGAAACAACATCAATGCATAGCATGTTACATCATTTACTTTATGCATTTTTACTCATCAAGCATCATACATGTACAGGTGACGGAGCTGTTGAGAAGGTTGTTGTAGAAGAACCCCAGGAGGTTGAGGTCATTGACGAGCCACCTGAGACTGCTCAAGGCAGGCCCCTATGCATCCCTATGCTTTGCAAATGCACTAATGAACTATGGTTAATTAAATGCATTGCTATGTTACTATATGATTAGTTTACCTATGAGTTTCCTAATTGAGCTTTCATACCTTGATGTTACCACACCACTCAAACATTGTTTGTTTACCTTTAAGTATCGAATATTAGTATGCTTAGACGGTAGAAGTTGGGAAGATGATGGGTTTCTCATCTCTCGTTATGTTTGTCCACTAAAGCAACATAAATGGATTATGATCTAAAACTTGATCAATGGTGAATGAATGGTGATGAATGGTTAGCGAGGGGTAAGGTCATGGCAAAATGGGTAATGGTCTTGGATGACATAGCTCGCTAACCGATTAAGGACCGTGTATCCGTGGTAGCAAGTCATGAACAAAATTGTACAAGCCACTTGTCATAAATGGGGATGACAAGCCAGGTACCTAATTGCAACCGCTCTATCCATGAATTTGGCATGAAGGTGGCGCTAGGTAGATGGGATGCCATTACCCGGGGACCTATCTAACCGTTCATGGACACCCTTGGCTGGATTGGTGAAAGGTTGAGACATCGAGATATCCCTTATGTACCGACGGGTCTTATGGGCGATATCCCTTGTCTTTGGTGGGGTTAATGTGTTTTGCCGAGTTTCTTATTCGAAAGC